ATATGTGTAGTGTCTGTCTGTCTGTCTGTCTGTGTCGTCTCTCTCTCTCTCTCTCTCTCTCTCTCTCTCTCTCTCTCTCTCTCTAAATTGGAGAGTATAAGTAATCAGATTCTTTATTAAACTATCCAGACTTCAAGTAGAGTGGGTCACTTCTTAACTTCAATTTTTTCCCTTTAACGTTGTCTGCTTGCATTTGGAGTCATTATTAATCCATACTTCCTTGAATTTAGTAAAGAAAAAACAAATACTGCTGAATACTTGAGTGTTTTAAGCAATTTAAAGTTTTTATTGTAAAATTATTCGAAGCTTCATATATAAAATTGACAATTTTAAGGGCAGCAACTGTATCTTAGGTGAGAAACAGGCAAGGTATCAATTTCATGTTTCAGATTTCTTGGAACTGTGTCAAAATGTGTACAACAGATTTTAAGTTTAGTAAATTGGGCTACTGGGATGTTTATTGGGGGGAAGTAGCTTTAAAACTGAGGAATATGATTCTCTGTTAATCTATTTAATTATTTTTTGGAATGTTTTGGAAGCGGTTCTCCTTACTACAGCCTTTGTCATCTTTGCTTAGTCCGATCTTTGCGCTTCTATGCCAACTTACAGACCTGGAACTGCCACCCTAAGGCCTGCAATGCTCCTTCACTTTACTTCCAGAAAATCCAAAACCTCTGCCTTAAAACCCACCTGTTCCATGGCACATTGACTACGGTATCATGTTGTCCTAGTACATTCCTTTAGCATTCCAAGCACTTGAACCTGTGTTTGTCTGGCACAGCCCTCTTATACACACATTGGGCTGTACATAACTTGAATTGACGAGAATATCTAAAGACAAACATTGTCTACATTCCTGTTAGCCAAGATACTTGGATATGGCAGTAGTCATAAAGTGAAATCCTGGCGCCATTGAAGTCAATGGCAAAAGTTTCATTGACTTCAACTGGAGAGGATTTCACCCATAGTCTTTATATCTGCAGACCAGTAGAAACAATAGTTTCTCTCTCTGACAGGCATTTCTGGCAATGCTATTGCAGATATTTCTCCTTTTCTGATATAAAAAGCATGATTTGTGTAAAACAAGTAAAATATTGTCATCCTTTAGACTGAACTGTGAAGAAATAATAAAAACGGAGGAATGAGAAACAGGAGAAAATGGACTAATCTTACCACTCTTTCTATCATTTGAAATCCACCCCTGCTTATAAACATATATTTTAAAGTCACTTACCCAGGGGATTAGGTATTAAAATTAATTACATTTGCAGTCATTGAGGTTGCCTCCCTACTTCAAAGTTTAAAGCATAATAAAAGTATTTTTTTCTTCTAAGGGCCTTTAATATATTGCCTAGAGTATTTTTAAAATTAATGTGGGCTAATTTATTAAAAATTATTGCACATTAATGTTTTCTCAGTATGACTAAATTAAAATTCAGATGTTTCTTTTGATGTGTACTTTAGGGGGAAAAAGTCTTTATTAATCCCCTTTTCTGTTCCATTTTACATTATCAGTAATACTTTTAAATATTTAAAGCTGCTTCAACATATTCAGTTTTTAAGTTACGTTTTGGAGGTGTATTCTGGGTTTTTTTGCTGTCTTTTCTGCCTATATAATTATTCAGATATCATAAAATAAGTGTATGCCACAGCACTGTTCTAATAGACCATTTCTTTATAATCCTTAGATCATTTGTATAGTAGACCATTCCCATTCGTATGGTTATTTTTGGTGCTGCTTAAAACTTTGAATTAAGCACTGTTCTATATTACTGCAAAACCCATTTTAAAAGAACTGTTAGGGGTTCTCAAGACAAATTTTTTGGTGGCCTCAGAGTTCAGCCACCAACTCTTGTTGGTGGCCGCTCTCAGATTGTTTCCTAAAATACTTAATTAGCTTTAGGAAAAACAAATAAATATACACATCCAAATCGTAATTTATTTATTGCTAGCTAATAAGTCTGTAAATATCACTTATCACAACAAACATACAAATTTCACATTTTACAGCAGACTTACTCAGCCTGGGGATAAATTAAGCCCAGGATGGTGGGTCGGGGGAGGCAGTGGGGAGCTGGAACCTGAAGCCCCATTGCCTGAGCCCAAAGCCCTGCAGCTAGGGCCCAGGGACAGAGTATTTATGCAGTGGCAGGCCCCAGCAATCCCTGGAGCCCAAAGCCCCATGGCCAGAGCCTGCCACCCCACCATTCTAGGTCTGAAGCTCAAAGCCTGACCCCTACCACCCCTGGTATGTGGGGAATTCATCAGCTGCCTGCTCCTCCAGGGTTGTGCCCCAGGTGTCTCCAGAGGATGGCAGGGCCTAACCCCTGCTGGCCACCCCAGCAACCAACAGTAAGCCCCTGGTGGCCGCATACGGTCAGGGTGGCTGCATTTGAGAAACACTGCATTAGACTACATAAAGTAGTATTCTGTTCAGTCGCATGTCATTTTAAATTCACCATTTGAGTGTTTATATATTTACAGCACTAGTACTACTCTAGATCTTATGTTGCACAAATAGTAAGTTGCTGGTGCCCTTGGCACTTAGTCTAGCTATTCTGTATAGTGTGGCATAAGAATTAAAAGTGAACCATGTTTAAATAAGAATAGTGAATCAGCTTTAAAAAAAAAATTCACGTAGCAAGGGAATTGATAAGTCTAATATTTGAAAGAAAATAAATGTCATGGTAATGGAACAGTGGGTATTAATTCTGCATCAGACAGACTGGTTCCCTAGTTCAGTGGTCTCCAAAGTGGGGTGTGCAAGAGGATCCGTGGGGGTGCACGGCAGGAGGAGCGCTTTTTTTGTTTTGTTTCGGCAGTTCGGGCGGGAGTCCGAGCGGCTTTTATTTTTTATTTTTTATTTTTTTTGCTTCGGCAAAAATGGTAGAGTCGGCATGGCATGGGGTTCGTGCTCAAATTTTTTTTACCGATAGTGGTACCCGATCAAAAAAATTGGGAGACCACTGCCCTAGTTTATTTAATGGCTATGATACATTCTGTGCCTAAAGTATAAAGGTCAAGAACAGGGATTCTCAAACTGGGGGGTCAGGACCCCTCAGGGGGTCACAAGGTTATTACATGGGGGGTCGCGAGCTATCAGCCTCCACCCCAGACTCTACTTTGTATCCAGCATTTGTAATGGTGTTAGATATATTAATAAGTGTTTTTAATTTATAAGGGGCATCGCACTCAGAGGCTAGCTGTGTGAAAGAGGTCACCAGTACAAAAGTTTAAGAATCACTGGTCAAGAACATACAGTGTGTAGAGCAGGAGGACACAGCAGAGGGAGCTGTAGGATAGTTTACTGTAGTGTGTACATTATAGTATTCCAAATAGTGAAACCCAATAAATGGAAGCTGTTGAATGAGCATTATAACTTTG